TTTTTTTTTTTTGCTATGAGGTTCCAAATGAATTATGTCTTTGTATTTAAATGGACCACACGCGGAGAATAAAATGCAAGGATCAAAACGAAGCCATTTGATTTGGAGTTTAATTCATTTAAATTTTTAATTTCACTGTTTCTTGGTGAGAGCAAATTTTCCTGTAATATTCCGGCCATGATCATGAAGCTGCAGCTGCAAGCAACAAAAGAATCCCTGATGTGCTTCATCCGAAAAACAAGAATCTATTTAATTTTCGATCTCCTCTTACGCAAAAGTGAAAGGCAACGATATCACACTCTAGCAAAAAAAAACCCAATTTCACTGATCGAATTTTAAACCACAAGAGGTTAAAAAAATATTTTAGTTTTTTCTAAACAAAAAGTGGTAGTACGATCGGAAAGATGAAAAAAATTATCACATTATTTCAATATTGAGTGATATAAACTGAGATAATTCTAAAATCCCAGCCATTTTCCCGCTCCTCGAAAAAAGGATGTAAGAACTTGCAACGGTAATAGAGAAAAAATGATTATCACATACCAAGCAACCTTTCCCCAAGATAAATGCTACCACAATATTTAATTTTTGACTAGACTAGACAACAAAAGAATAATATTGTTGTCTACTTCACCTAAAAAAGAAAACGGTTACTTACCCAAGGTAGAACGCGTCCCCGCCAAATACGAACTTCGGTCGGAGTGCAGAAAGAAGATGGAAATGGACAGCTTCGATTTCACTCTGAAATTGAAATGGAATTTACGTGACCAAAGTCCGAGGAATGATTTTCTTGTTGGATTGTACCCAGGGTCCACGATCGTTGAATAGGTCACGCCTTCATTTGATAAGTTATTCATTCAAGTTGATTTCGTATGGTAAAAACAAACACAGTAGTCAAATTGGGGCATGCGCAGCGGTATCAATTTTTAGGCGCCCGTGCGGAAATTTCCCCGCAAAACAAAAGAAAATACTACTGTCTCGCGAAATAAACCGAAGAAAATTGAAACGTAAAAGGAAATAAGAGTGGAGAGAAGCAAACCTCGAGACCTTTCGAAGACAAAGTTTATTCAAGTACGAGCACCCTATTGAATTATCAATAGCTTTATCAAAAATTTTGTACGTTTCTAAAACAACGTGACTTACTGACTTGCGTTGTTGCCCATAACTCTTATGAGACAACTTGGTTCTGGTAGCCTGAAAGCACGCCACCTAGTCATCACAACGTTCGCACGTGCGCAAACGTTTAAGCGATGTGTTATGCCGGTGTAAATTCTCAGTAGAGCGAGTTCCAGGCCTCGCGCGACCAGAGCTAACAACTAGCACCTTGGAGTATCGAAGGAAAATCTTGGTAAGTTTCTCAAATAATAAAATGGTACTTACGGGTGAACCTCCTAATATTTGTCAACGAAAAATGATTTCGACGCGCGGCGATACCAACTCTGATTGGTTACAAGAAATTCTATTTTACGCGGTCAAACTTATCCGATAATTGCATGTCCATTAATTCTTACGAACAATTACATGAATGCATTCTTAAATACCAGATAGAAAACGAATAGACGCCAAACTTTCCCATCGTACAAAGAGTTATAATGACGTGTAATTCTACGGGAGCGTTCACAATATCAATAATTCTTGGAACAATGAACTTTGTGAAAGTTAATGTATATCACGGACATGTAGCATCGTAGTTTCTTCGACATGACGACATGAATTTTTACGACGACATATGTTCGCTTGAACAATTTTTAGCGAATGCGTATTTGCTCATAGCTCAGTTTCAGAAATCCAAACAAAAAATGCAGCTGAAAAATTAGCGATTGTTAACTTATCTGGTCTGAGACAATAAAAAAAAAGGCAGAAATCGAGTATCATGGAATAAACTTCTGAACAAATACTGTGAGCTTGAATGTCACTCCAAATCATTACGTGTATCAGGATCAAAATATTTCAACTACTTTTTGCTGCCAGTGTTTTTAAGAAGTCATCAACACGATCTTGCAGAGCCTCCACTGTTCCTGAATGTCTCCGATACACACTCGGTGACACTGGAGCAGGATTCAGTGTCGCTTGAGGGTCTTCCATGGCCTTTCGGAGAGGTGAGGAGGGTGACAGAGTATTTAGGTCAATTTGGGTGAAATCTGAGCCTCGGCGGCTAGCTAAAGATGACCTGTCGATTGGAAGGAGAAGCCCTCCTGGAGGCATGGAATAACAACTCCTTGCAGATCCAGGCCTGGAGCCACGTCGCCGAGTAAGGTCGTATTCGCCAGGAGGTGATGAAGCCTCCAACTGAATATCTGCCAGTGCACTATCTGCAGATAGTGAAGACAATGACCTAGCGGTGGAGGGACGATTTATGGAAGAAGGTTGTCGTCCTGGACTCAGTGACCGCCGCATCCTGGCGGGAGACCCATTGTTCAATTCTGGCAGCATCTGTTCTGAAGCGGAATCTGTGTGTGATCCCTTTGGCGACGACCTTCCTGATGTAGGACGGAGAGAAGTCGCAACACCAGAGCCTCTCCTTCCGAGTAATGGAGAAAGGGGCTGTTTCAGTCGCGGCGGAAGCGGAGCTTGCTCCGAAATTTTTCCCCTCAGATGAGCTTCGTTTAATTCAAGAGAAATCACATTTTTGGATTTGGTAATTGCAGCAGATCCACGTCTACGGAGATTCGGAGATTGTGAAGAAGAATTACCCACTGCAGCAGAACCTCTTCTCCGCAGTATGGGTGAACTTGATACAGGTCCCTCTGCACTTTCTGCCTCTGCCTTTGATTGCATCAATTCAGCTGTTGCTGATCCACGTCTTTTAGTGGACGCTGGTGGAGTTGGTCCCAACATTTCTCCCTCCGTCCCGTCCATTGTAGATCCACGTCTTTTCACCTCTGCCGAACTTTTCGCTAACTGAATAAGCAGCTTTGGTGAGAGATCTGTGATTTCCGGCGCAGTACGTCGCCGATGAGAACCACGAGTGCTTTGAGAAAACGCATTCAGCATCTTTTGAGCTTCTGCGTCGTCGATGGCAGGCGGTTCGTCCGCGGGAGCTGGCACATCGCTTGGAGGCGCATCCGAGGATTGACTTGCAACAGATGACCGCCTGCTCTCTGTTTCAAAGTCAGAGTCAGTCTCCTTCCTCTCGTTATTGATTAAAATTTCCGGCGCTTCACCTGTAGAACTTCGTTTACTTGACAGACTTAAAACAGACGCCGTCTCGTCTGCATCGTCTTGCTTTGGTGAAATGGGTGCGTAGCTCCCCCTCCGAGATATGCTGGGCGAACGCAACACCCTTCCTTGACCAAAAGTAGCATTTAATGAATCACTAGCAATTTGTTCCTCCATATCTTGTGTGTTTCGTTTTCTCCTCATATCGTACTTCATGTCAAGAGAAGTTTCACATATTTTCACCATAGACTTTCGCTCCGAATATTTGATAGCTTTCATTTTTTTGTCCAGTTCTTTCTCAGCCAACTTCTCATTCTTTAGCATCGTGGTTATCAAACGATTCCCGAGCTTCGACATATTTTTGTCTATCGCTCTACTTTTCCCCGCCATGATGTACAAGTTCTTACGAAACAACTATCTTTAAAGTTATTTCAGGTATACCGGCGCCGACTCTATCAAAGGGAGATAAAACAACTCCGAAAATAACTCTGAATTTTACCCAAGTATGCCGATTGATTAAAACTAAACTGAAATTCCAATTTAGCTTATTACAGTACGTTAGAAGCGTTTAAGTGTTCTTTACGTCTTAGTTTGTCTGCCTAATCAGTGGCTTGCACACCGAGTCTCTTTTGTACCCGCATGCAAATTGTATTCGACTCTTGGTTGGTACATGTTTGAAAATAGCTTAAATACACAATACAAGTAATCTTGATTGGAGCACATTGGGTTAAAGTGATTGTTTGGTTTGTTTGGTTACCAGGATTTGTAAACAATTGCTGCGAGTAATTAAGACACTACTAATACGCTAAAGAGCTAAATCAAGAATGTCTATAGGCGCTGAAAGCCTTCAATTAACACGAATAGTCACAAAAATAAAGTTAAATATTTCACATGACACTGTCCGGTAGGGTAACTCATGATAACTCGTCAAAGACTTGATTTCACCGAACACATGATCTTTCGAACATCTACTAGCTAAAAATGTGAAACAAAAGCTTCCGATGAAAAACTTGCTCATTCCGATGACTGAAACACTTAATGAACCAGAAAACCTGATTCCCTTCGTAAAGGATCTCTTTCTTACAGTACTCAATATTTTCGCAACGGATACAAATTGAGAAAAGGTAAGTCTGTGCTTGACAAAATCGTACAAAATCAGAGACAACTTTTACCTCTACCGAGTTTTTATTGTTGCTCTTTGTTTTCTACTTCTCAGCCACAAATCCTCAGGGAATAATTCTATAAACTAAATGATTAGTCGAGTACATAATCACTTTGAGACCAACGAACGCAAAAGAGAAAACAATAGTGTGTGACGTTAGACAGTTTAGCGTTTTAGTCACATTACCTTGCTGTCGACCAACAATAGCTTGGTGCAAATGTCTGCAGTCAGTGCATCTTTTCAAGTTTGGCCGAAATTTTCAAGTTTGTCTTTCGCAATACGTCGTATTCATCTTTCCCATCCTGAAATCCTCGTTCCTCGAGGATTTATTATCAGCTCTCTGACGTTTGTATTTACCAACAAAATCTTATTTCAAGATCCCCAGTTCCATTTAAAAGGAACCCTTCATGACGTTAAAAATGGAGTAAGTGACGTAACTTCTCTATCTTGGAATGACGTAAAGGTTGCAATAGTCTTAACGATGATCGAACGCCATACAGTTAAATAAATTTTTTTTGTACTCAGTTACTCTGAATCAAAATATGTTTAATCGGATGTTGCATGAGTACAACGTGGTATTAAAGTCATTGTAACGGGTAAGACCTTCAATTTTGCCCTTACACCCTAACATCAGTATGTATATTCTCCATACAGTTCTCTAAACATTTCCTAAGATGCTTACAAGGAGAATTTGCTTTACAATCAAGAGCCTCTATAGCTGATGAACATTCTCATGACCTCAATGTTTGATGTTCAGGTAACCCCTACGGTTAAAGGATTAAGGAGCTTACAAAAAGTTACCCTAGCGAGGTTGAAATAAAGTATGCATTAAAGCCCAAAAGCCGTGAAGAAGCTCTTAAAAACTTGTCTTCTAAGTTGGATTATCAGAAACAAGCATTCAAGAAAGTATATTTGCAAAGGTATAGAATTTGTTGAAGATGAAACGATGTTGTCAGACAATCGCCGACTCACCGTTTTTCTCTTAAATTCATAGAAATATTTAAAATACTGCACCAAAGTAAAATAAAAGAAAAAAGGAAACTTTGCAAAATACCCACCATTTTGATGGACATGAAACGTCCAGAAGCCCATTAACTGCCGTCCAAACCAGTCCACTGATGATTGCCACATGAACAGAAAGAGCATGGATAGTCCTTGAAAACGGTGCTTCAGTAACAAGAAACAAAAATACGTTGGCAAGCAGAATATGAAGGCAAACATGCATCTGTGATTTATGTAGATTAAGATGACATCAAACATTTTGTGACTCATAGTTGTATCCTCCATACATAAACCTCAACGAAGACAGTAACCAAAAGAAAAACAGTGGGATCATCATCACCTCTTACAGTTACCTTGTGATATAACTTCCTTGTAGTGTATAAGACGTCATCTCACACACTTTCCTTTGCCCAGACCCTCTCTGTCTCCAAACATAGTCCAGAGCGAAAAAGCTTGGTCCCTTCAGCATTTTTCACCTGAACGTAGTTAAAGCGCAGACATTTATACTTGGCAAGTTCATCTCTTTTGAAAGAAAGTGCTCTAGAAATTGAAATTCTTATTGAGAATGATAGCGGCAAGGCGGAATTGTAAGGTATGAGAGTCACGCCATACACTCGAAGTGTCACGCGATTAGAGACCGTGGTCTTTTAATTATTATTAGTATGAAGAGATCACTATTTGTATGAATAAAATAAGAGAGATGGTCAGTTTTGAGCTCGCTAAAGCATTGACAAAGATGTTTTCCCTCTTGTCACGAGCGCGCGACAAAGAAAAAATCCTGAGTCCCCATGAAGAGTCGAACGTCAGAACTTTGGATTTTGTTTGCTTAGGGAAGTTGTGTTATCAGAGTCGCTTTGTTTTGTTTTAATTGGCAATTTCACGCGGCATATTGAACTTGACCTTTCGTAAACACTTGTGTATCTCTCAATCTTTCTAGAAAAATATCACGTCATTCGAGTTGGCTTAGCGACCGAGCCCTGGTGAAGGTGAAGCGATGTTTAAAAACTTCGCTCAAAATGATTCAAGATATAAGCCAAACTTTCATATCCTCAATAAAACACTGAGAAAGAACCCTCATTTAAAGACCTCTGTCAATTTAATTCGTCAATTAGACCATAAATTGATACTTTGTCAACATAGAGTAATTAAAAACCTATAAAGAATATGTCTTAGCGGAAGTTATCTGATCCAAGAGATAAAGCGAAAGCACCCCATTGCCGCTGTTTTTCGAAAAAATAAAGCAATCTTACTCATATTTGGCATACCTCATGTCTCCAGCGATGAAATACATATCGGGGTTTAGTCTGGCGGCAATTTAGCAGTTTATTGTCGCTGAATATTCTCTCCCAAATTGTGACATTCGAGTTCATCTTCTCCAATTCCTTTTTGTCACCCATCGTTCCACTCACCGACTTTACTTTTCTATTTTCGAAGCTGAATATCTGGGAGTTACACCTGGACAAACCCATTTCTCTTAGCTTTAGGAAAAACAGTTACTTTGTCATCGAGCAAGTTGTGCCAAGCATTCGCAAGTTCCAATCTCACATTAGTCGTTTGGAACTTAGACTCGGATATCAGTCGAAGAGTTTAGGACAAGCCTGTAATTGGCAACTTTACAATCTCGATCCCAGGAACTCTCAGCCATACATTACCTCCCGAAACTAACTGGGGTGGAAATTGGTTGAGTGAACCCCGCATTACACAAGAACTAGACGAAGCCCAAAATTTTTCCTCCTATGATAACTGTGAAATTAGGTAATGTATACAGTGACACAAAAATCAAGCGTTTGAAAAGAAATCTAGCCGAACCAGTACTTACACTCAATTGCTTTTCATTCTGTGGAAACTACTACATACAAACTAATGGCGTAGCCATGGGTACTAAAATGAGACCTAGCTACGAAATCTTTTCATAGGTTTTATCGAACACCAATTTTTTAGTCAATATCGCGGCCCTAAACCTGAACTCTACGGTCGCCAGAGGAGGTAGCGCCGATGCAGTCGTCAACTAAATTGTTCAAATTTTTTTCTTTGGAGTGAAATAGGGAGCATAATAACTGTGTGTGCCCTGTACCAGAGAGGAGCTCACTCAATTTATAACCGCCGTCAATTCCTTTCACCCGGCTCCGAAATATGCCTAAGAAATTTCCGACACTTCTTTGGCTTTTCTAGACAGCAAAATTTCAATTGAAGTCAACGATTTAAGCACTAGTGTTAACTACAAACTTACATATTCACATAGTTACTTGTTATATTCATCTTCGGATCCATCACACGTCAAGAATTCCATACCTTTTTCGCAGTTTCTCAGTATTAGTCGTTTATGTAGTGACGACTCTGATTTTTCCGAAAAATCAGAGGCAATGTGCCAGTTTTACCATAAACGTGGCATCCTGTTTCTGTCGTGCAAGCGGGCCACCACCGCCCTCAACAAACTCATCGACAGTCAGCAATACAAACAGCTGAGAAAATCTAAAATCTATCATTCGTAAAAACTTTAAGAGAGGATGTCAGCATCCATCGCACAAATTTGAAATATCGTGGCAAGTCGTACAAAATTCGATTTATCTCCTACTTCATATTTTCTAGCCCAATATGTCCTAATAATTGTGGTGTAGTTTTTTGGTGAAAATATATTTT